AAGTGGCTATTGTTCGGGACTAAGAAAGGGGCAGTGTTACGACAGCGGAAGTCATGTGACACTGCTGACACGTTTAGTGCTGGTAACATGCATGATGTTTTTCGAATGATCGGGGAAGTCCGAGATGCCCTCTTCGTTAGTATATGAGCATGGGAGAGAAAGCCAGTAGGATTAATGAAGAGAGAGCAGTAGTTACTTTGAGTTCCGTGTAATTTATGATTCTTTTAGTTTCGAGATAGTGAGCCATAAAGTGTGTGTTTTGCACTTGTCGAGAGCGGAGTACTCGAGATTGTGAATAGCTGTGATTTATAGCGTGTATTATAAAAGTTGTTAAGTTTAAAGTGGCGAGAAACGTACTGGTTGTGGAAGTTCTGTGTAATAAAAGTTTGTATCAAGGAAGAATAAACTGGTTTAATCAAGAAAGGACTTGTATCACTGAAGATCCTCGGAAATAATTTCTACCGGAAACAAACAAACAAGCAGATATGTAACAGTATATTATAATCAAGACAAAAGAGAGAAATAGAAATAGTTCATAAAGTCTTTTAATCAACTAAATCTTACCGAAATGTCTTTTTTCATGTTAATATTATCCTCCTGTAGCATTTCAATGTGACTCAGAGCAACAGCAGTTTGGAGACACCAAAACCCACTTCTCTGGTAACTCTCTGGGAAATATATTGAGAGAATTAACATTCTGTGCATTTATGAACATACTAGTTCAGTGATTGATTGTATATAATAATGCTTGATATTTTTTCCATTTCTTGTAGCAATGACTCTTAAATTATGAACTCTGTACTTTCTGGTTTTTGAAAGAGAAGTACACTATCAAAGTTCTTCTTCTCATAACACCCAACTTAGAGCTAAGACTTATGTCACATTTTTTTCTTTTAAGAGCTATTAACATTTTTGTACCTTTATTCATACATATAATGTATAATTATTAATATGAAATTACATTTCTTTTATATTTGTTGTGTAAAACTAATTATTCATTTTCAGAAAGAAAATTTGTTAACCTAATATTAGAAAAAAATAAATAAATACTACTAACTGAAAAGAACCTAACTAGGACGTTAACAAGGAAAGTAATATCCACTACATCTCTATTAACCACAATCACATCATCATTGACAATGTTTCTATGTATTCTTCATAACAAAAGTATGTCATATTTCACCATGTTATCTGTTTGAATCTCATATCTATAACTTATTTAAAGGATCAATATATACCACTGTTATTAATTATTTTATATTAATGATAACAGAAGTGTTTTTATAAGGTATAATGACACTATAGAAAAATAAAACATTTTACTTTTTAATAATCACAGCTTTCTACTGATCTTTATTTGTTATTGACAATGTAATTATGCTGGCATAAAAAGTGAAATGGAGAAATGAAAGTGTTATATGCAAAGATAATTACTTAGATACTTAAAACAACTTGAATGTTGAAATTCCTAAAACTTATACATTGCCTTTTCTAATCACAGGTGTAATAACTTTTAAGCTTTTAATGATGTATTTTTTAAATCTAAAGTAACATGAACCAAATAACAGATTTTTCACATTTAACAAGTTTATACAAGCTTTAGTATTTTCAAAAACAAACTTCTTTTCAGGTCAGAGTATTAATACCCTAAAAATTTTATTTCTTGCTAAACACAAAGCTGCATAATGGACTCTCTGTGCTGTTCCAAATGCAGTGATCGAATGGCAGATTAATGGCAGGACCACTGGGTTACCAAACACAGGGCTTTTAGGCAGAAAGATAACAATCTAGAACCCAACAACTGAAAGAGCCAGCAAAAAAGTCAACAGATTGAATTCATAGGAGAAATGAGTGGAGGGAACCATCTCATAAGAAACTGAAGTAAATAAGGACTCTCAGAAAAAGCATTCTTCTCAACCTCATCGCCTTAGGCAATCTTTAATTGATATATAACAAGGGAGTTGGGTGGAGTCATCACATTTTCAAGTGTGGTCACAGGTGGTGGTATAACAGGGAGTCAGGGTCAGATTGCAATGCATTATCTAACACCTGTATTTGAAACTTCTTACAGTAGTATACCAGTAATAACTAATTGCTGGACATACTCCTGGAGCTAAGCCCCCTACATATATATTGAAAAATGTTGGTCAAGTCATGAAACAAACCTAGTAAACAGGCATGATAAAAACAAAGGCAGACCAAATGATAAGATCTACAACTCTAGGAAAGTGCAATGGTAACACTATATAGGTTATGAAGGTTAAAAATAAGGCAGTAAGGTATCCCCAATCCTTATTGGAGCTATAGAAACATCAAATGAAGAATAGTCATCTCGTTTGCAATGTCTCAAATGCTATGCAAGGACATGCATCAGGAGGGAGAAAATGTACCCACTCAAGAATCATCAGCCATCAGATGTCATCTTCTGTCCACTTCCAAAAGGTATCACCTTCTCACTAAATCCAAGCAAAGGAGATAGTAATTTGTCTAAGATAATTGCATAGGTACATATAACATGCAAGGGTCCCAACTAGATGTATCTATTCATATTATAACTAGAGAATATTTTAATGAAATGATTCCATAACCTCAGATGCCCCTATAATTGTTAAGAGGGGTATTAGGCCTTATAGCAAAAACCTGGGCTACTATGCATAACAGAGGTATGGACCCAAACATTAACTAAGCAGGTAACAGAGAATAACTACCTACCATGGATTTTATAAGTCTTGAAGAACATCAACCAGAGGAAAAAATATGTAAGTAGAATTTTAAGAATGTATTCAAATTCATCCACATGCTGCCCTACAGAATATTCTCTAAGGAATATTGGAAATGAGATGTCAAAGGCATTGCTGAATGGCAAATTTGATGAGATGTTACCCAAAATTGACCTGTAATGTGTTCAGAATATCATAGTAGTAATGAAACTGGTCGATATAATAGTGGAAACTATGGTTGAGCTGGACACTGTGGAACAATAAGGAGAGATATAAACTGAGTAAATGATCTTGCCAAGTAATTGAAGAAGAAGGTGGAGATGAGCACTAGCATAAAGGAAGTGGCTCTTCCAAGATTAACTCAAGTATTCATTGCCAGAGAATTTAGATTTGAAACTGAGATCAGTATAGTGGAAGTAGGTGGTTGACCAATGTAGAAAAGGCACTGATTATCAGACAACCAGCCTTTTTACAAAGTCACTGAAAAACAAAAGGGGTGAAGGATCCACTCTATAGGGAGATTTCAACAAACTAGAAAAATATTCTTCCAAAATTGTTATCCTACCAGGAATGCTATAGGTTCAAAGGTGAACAAGCTGAGAATAAAGTCAAGAAAGTAATGAAACTGTAGCAAAGTAAAGTCTACAAGAATGAGCAGTACCCTTACTGTAGATATAAGGTACAATTCTGGAATAATTTGTGTGAACTAACACTGAGTGGTGGTAAAGAAGGAGCAGAAACTTACTTTAGACAAATATGCTAAACAGCTCAACATTCTAACAAATTGGTTGTAAGTTTCTGTTTCCTGAGGAGTTAAAGAATCAGAAGATACATGTTCCCCAACATGGTGCCTCATCTGAAAGGAGGTATCTATGAAAAGGTAATGGTCTTTAGGACAAGGAAGAAAAGGAGATCCCACTGTAGTAACTCTCAATTCAACAAAAACTGGATAAACTTGAGAATGATGAAATAAATGGTCATGCTGCATAAGAGTGTCCCAAGTGAAGCATCACTGAGAAGCAAGGTCCCATTGGAGGTGCTGCATGCAAGTGCACCCCCAATCAAGTGGCTTCATGAAATGAAACCATTCTCCTTAAATCAGAAAGTATTCTGTTTAGCATCTTTCTTATGAGAAGTTTTTGGAGAGTTCCTAACACTTTGTAACCTAGAAATAGGGCAGTTAACCAGCAGTCATCTATACTCACTATAGTTTCCCACTTACTCAGTCCCAGAGGGAGCCTGTAGTTTTCTTGCCCTTGTGAACCTTGTTAGGTCCCTCCTATCCTGCTCCTCATCCTGTGGCCCTTTCCTAGCATCCCTCTTTCTGACAGCCTAGCTTTTATGGGACTTGGTAGTGACTCATTTCTGGAGCAATCCCTTGGTTCCAGTCCCGTGGTAGCTCAGCTTGGGCCACAAAGGTGCTCTCTCAGTAGATTTCTCTGTATTTTAGGACTCAAATGTTTTCAACCAGGACCCGATTGCTTTTGTATGGAGGATGTGCTCATTAGGTCTACATTTTCACTGTTATATGTACAATTGAGTCCTCCTATTCCAGTCCTGGGAGACATCCTCTGCTACGACTTCCCTTCCTTAGGTTAGCTGGTCATGCTCTAAAAGTCACTACTGAACCCACTCAGCATTTGATTCATTTGGGGGTCTTTATTGGGTCATTTGATGGATGAATTCAGGTTTCTCCTTTATATATCTTTGAGACATGGAGTTCCTGGTTTCCATAGCTTTTGTATCTCCTTTTCTTCCTACATAAGACTTCTATCTCTTTTGGGAACTCTAGTCATTCTAGAGTCCCTTATTCTTTTTGTTGTGCTTAACTGTGTCCACCTCAGTTAACTCTGGAAGATCAAATGAATACATCAAGAAATGTACTGACTTTTTTCATTTCTCTTCACCATTCACAATCTTGGTGATGAGATCAAGCACACTGACTCTAGGTATCCCTCTTCCTTCACCTCACCTGGTCTTACACCTGTTTACTAATGTCTCTCCATGTGTGTGAGGAGTGGTTCTAAATTTTTGGATTCCCTTTTTATTTCTGGCATTTGATCTCCAAAGGAGCAGTTGTTTCTGCACACCAATGTGCTCAAGATGTTGGCCATTCAACAGGCCTGCAAGTGTTTTCTATTATGTCGGTTTTGAACATTTTATCATTATCTATTCATACAACTCCACTGTCATTTCTTTCATCAATCAATAGGGAGGTACTCACTCTAGTGACATCTGTTTTCTAGCTCTAGATCTCTTTTGGACCCACAACCACATCCATTTGTTGGCCTGATATGTTCAAGACCTTTGAACTTAGTGGTGGATTGGCTATATTTCCTGTACTGGATCCTTTCAACAGTCTTCCTTATGTCCTCTGGTGTTTCTGTAGATTTCTTCTTGTTTTGGGTGTGTTCTTGATGTATATGTGACTTCTCTCAACACAAGCTTCCTCATTATTAATCACAGATTCTATTGCTATAGCAGTGGATGATCTGAGTTAGGACTGGTTAGGATTAGTTCTTCCCAGGGCAATCTCTAATTTGTAGCACCCCCTTGCTGGGTTTTTCTCATTGTTTGCCATTGGCTGGCTCAGTTGTGTTTCCTCTCTTTCACTTCTTGATGATCCAGAAGCCTCTACCTCTTCAATTTTGGAGATCCATTTTATGGCAGCTTCAGATGTTTATCTTTATTTTTGCATGTGCCTTTTTTTTTCAGTCTTTAGCAAGAGAGGAAGGTTTTTCTCACAGAGTACCTATTTTCTTGCTCACACTTGTTGTCCATCTATCCTTGTAGTTTATCAACACAAATGGTTATATAACTCTTCTATATCTCACTTCTTTTTTTTTACTTGACTTTAGAGAGTGATCTCTGAGTAAAGAGCACCTTTGTCAATAACCTTCTATCTTTTGCTTCGTCAATCTCTTTTTTTTTTTATTTGGTTTTTACAGAAACTTTCTAGTCCTCTTGTATGGTTCTTCTTCCAAACTGGCATCTCTGTTCCATTCTCAGTGCCCACACAAGTTCTTCATTTGAACCTTTGGCAACCTATTCCCTGTATCTATTCTTCTTTTAGTTTATGGGTGACTTTGCTCTGATATTTTCGACTTTTTCATATGGATGGGTTCATTTTATTCCAGATTACTCTTCCTTCCCAAGATCTGGCTGTTCAAGAGGGTGATTTGATGTTTTCTCCAATCATCATCTCTTCAATTTCTTCTCTATTTAAGGTTGTTCAGACTACAATTGTCGCTTTTGTTCTGTGAGGGTAGTATTATGTTACTTTACTTGCACAGCTGCCTTTAGAAGCAACTGAAATAGCTTTTTCCTGCCATTGGATTTTTCTGCTTATCAATATTTAGCTACTTCCACATTGAATAAATGGGTTAATGCAGTCTTGTCAGCCTCAGGGTTTTGTCTCTTGCTAGCTGCCATGCTCAAGTCTTCCCAGAGGCTAAGGAGGTGAGTTATTATAAGAAAGGAGAAACAGAAACCCATTGAGTGGCTGGTGTTGCCTCCCAGGGAATACTTCTCTATTTCAAAATTTGTATATGGGGGATAACAGAGAGTGTTAAGCCCATCTTCCCATACTCAGTACCCACTGTTAAGATGTAGGTTTTTCACAAAACTGCTCCAGCAGTATCATATATATACATTATTTACCTTCCAGGCCATACCTTGCCAGTAAAAACCTATGGGTAAACAGCCACTCAACAAAACAGATCCTGCTGTTCCTATTCATGGTAACCAATTGTGTAGTCTTTCAGTGAAGGACCTTATGCAGATGAATTATATATGTTTGGTCCATGAATACATCAACACCCCTCCCATCCCCAAATTTCTGGTTTGGTGTAATCTCACTGGTACATACTACCCCAGCCATATTATCTGGACAATTTCTGGTGGTTTCGACCAACTAGATGAGTCTTTAATTCTCCTTAACTATTTAACTGGTGTTCATTACTTCAGCAGTTTTATGTTTTTATAGATAAGAATTAATAGCTCACAAATACAATTAAATCTGAAATACAGACATTTAAAATACATGATATGATATTTATGATACCTTTTTAAACATAAACTTGCATTTTTCTTTTGTTCAATGTATGATTGATACTTATACCAAATGTAGGCCCAGTGATGCACACAGTAGGCCACTTTGTTGAAAGAAGTTGTGCGACAGAAAATCGTCAGGAGAGAGGTGAGTATCTATATGAAATGCATTTTCAGGTATGGAAAATGTTGACTATAACTATAGTGTGATAGATATACTCAATGTTAAAATATCTGCATACATGTTCTTTGGGGTAATTAGATTTTGTACAATATTTCAGTGACTATGCAGTAATCACCATAAGGATAAGTAAAATAAATGTGGTTCTTCAACAGAATTAAGAGAAGACACTGAGCAGTTTTATTAAACTCTGTTAATAGCAAACTGTATGATTACTGAAACATAGATAAAAATAAAATACATGATCTAAAACATTGATGTTAATTCTTAGCATATTTTGGAAAAAAAAAGAGAATATGGTTAGGAACATGTTTATTTCAAATTTGATATTAAATGGCCAAGACGAAAGCAAGTTATAGTAGAAAAAGATAAATAACCCGGTATTTCCTGAGGATAAAATAGCAAATATAACTAAATCAGTTTTGATGGGAAAGAACACAAAAATATATAACTTATTGATAAAACCTTACATTTTTTTGCAATATCTAGAATTCTTTGAGGATGGTTTCAAATTTAATCCTAAATCTTTTATGAGACTTTAAAAACTCTTACTGAAGTATGCAATTAAACATAATAATATTATATTATGTACATTGAAACATTCTCTCTCTTACCATATGTTCTTGGTCCAAAACTAAGAAATGATGGATAAAGGTTTGATGTTTGAATTGAATACGAGTATTTCCAGCTTGGTAAACGTACTTTATAGGCTAAGCTGTAAGGACTGATACCAACATCTTCAAATATAATTCCACCAGTAAAGTATGGATCAAAATCTGGGTCTGAATATGCTTTTGATGCATGTAATTCAATGTCATGTTCAGAATCAACTCCTTGTAAATCTGTATAAAATAAAAAATTAATAATGAATTCTTTTGACAATGCAGATAATGTGTATAAAAATATCATACATTTTCTGCTTTCATATGATAATATACTATTAAAATTGATGGGTTCCTCCAAAGTATGTGTAGATTTCACACACCACATGGTCAAGAAAGTCATTAAGTTCATTTCATTATAACTGCCTTACTTACTTTACCTTTATATTGAAGTCCTACTTGTTCAGTCCTTGAAAATAATGGCTATAATCCTACGTGTATGTAAGAATGTAGACAGCAGTGTCTTTTAGTGGCATATAAGGCTATCAGTTTTGAGTGATGGCTCAGCAAGTGCAAGAGCTAATAACAGACAGTGAATAATGATTATGCTACAGCTCTGAGAAACTGAGACCTCTCCACCAATATTTAATAATTATTAATTTTCATAACAAGTGTGTTAAAATTAATTGTTCTAAAAATTGTTCTAGTTATTACAAATTTCGTTATGTAACTCAGTGGGAGTCGAACATTGTGTGTATAGTTCAATGGTTGTAAATTGAAGTCACATTACTCGAACCTTCTATATTTTTCTCAATACCTTAAGTGAGCATTGTTACATCATAGCATCTCCTAAATTGTAGAAAGTTCTAGGCCTCAGTTGGGCAATGCATATATATATGTATATATATAGGCAACCAAGTGAGCACAAATGAAGTTAAGTTAGTAAAAATAACGTTAGACTGTGTGATTGCTAGTTTAGCCGTAACAGGCAATATTTAAAGTGAGTTTGACAGTGCTATTGTAATGACAAAGATAAAGGACAATAATTTGTTTTGCCAAAGGGTGTTCTAAAGTAACTGAATCCACCTGCGTGAACTTTGATAAAGAAGAAGACAATTATTTAAAGTTCACAATACAACTGTGGTAACCCATGGGGTAACAGAAGTGAAATATCACAGATTGTGCAGTAAGAAGCGGTGGAGAAAAATAATTTGTCTTGTCAATTGACTTCAAGAGTAACTGAACTAGCCTGTGTGGACTTTTGACAAGAAAAGAGAATTAAAGTTTTAGATACAACTTTGATAACCTATAGTGAAACAAACTTTTGTACATACTGTCATAATGTAAAAGACTGTTTAATTTAGATATTATGGATTAATATATTTTTTGTGAGTGAATATTTTATTATTGTTTAGTTTTTGTTATAATAAGAGTTAAAAGCAGATGAATGTAGGCAGACGAGTAAGTGATAATAATATAAATAGCATGAGACGAGCGTGAAACAGCAGACAGACAACAGCAAAAGAGAATAAAGTTGGCGTGAAGTTAAGTACCGTAGATGTGATAGGCCTAATGTTTAATATGTTAGAGTGAAACTAACAGCAGAAAATAACATAAGAAAAATAATTTTATTCCGTCAAAGCATGGTTTTAAAGTAATTGAATAGGCCTAAGTAGATATTTGACAAGGAGAGAACTACATATATGTAAAGTAAGTGATAATAATATAAATAGCATGAGACGAGCGAGAAACAGCAGACAGACAATAGCAAAAGAGAATAAAGTTGGCGTGAAGTTAAGTACCGTAGATGTGATAGGCCTAATGTTTAATATGTTAGAGTGAAACTAACAGCAGAAAATAAGATAAGAAAAATAACTTTATTCTGTCAAAGCATGGTTTTAAAGTAATTGAATAGGCCTAAGTAGATATTTGACAAGGAGAGAACTACATATATAGTATTTATGATATACCCATAATATCTGTAGTGTTGAAGAATTTATTGTAGATACATTACCTTGTTCTGAATATATATATATTATTTTGCAAACAAGTGAAGTGCATGCTATTTATTCACCATTTATTCACTAACATTCTGCTGTGGACAGATAAATGTCTGGAAGTATAGTAAAATATCCAATGGTTCAGAATACTGGCAAATTGTATTGGATGATGTGTGCATACCTGAGACTAATTTCCACAACTGAGATGGCTTGTAGGAGTTTTGCAGTATTCCATTCAGCCTGTGAAATGTGCCCACTACGTTTGAAAGACTAATGAAGTGGCTGTATTGTAAGGAATGCCTGATATACATGGTGAGGTAAAAGTCACTATACAGTTGCACACTTTTATTAACATAATATAATGTTTCGGGACAACATGGGACCTGTTGGTACATCTCGGCTGTTCTATCCACTAAACTAAATTAAAATAATTTAAAAAATCTTAAAGCCAGCCCATATCATTTAAATACTTATCATATACTTACTCTTTTTAAAACTCACTTAAATATACCGCCTCTACAACATCCGAAGGCAACCCATTCCAAAGGCCAACCACCCTGTTAGAAAAATGAAATTGTCTTAGCTAAAGATGACTCCTACCTTGCCAAAATTTATATGTGTGTCCCATAGTCCTACTATTCTCATTTCAAACATGAAAAAAGATGATCCATCAACATTATAAATTCACTTTACAAACTTAAACACCTCAATTAGATCCCCCCCTAACTCTTCTTTTTTTTTTTCCAAGAGAAAACAATTTGAGAGATTTCAGCCTCTCCTCGTATGACAGTCCCTTCATCCCAGGCATCATTCTAATGACCATTCTCTGAACACTTTCCAATAATTCAATGTCTTTCCTAAGGTAAGGGGCCCAAGACTGAACAAAATATTCCAAATGTGGCCTAACCAGTGACCTATACAATGACCCATACTCTTTAGATTTCTATTCAATATTTCTGTAGATACAACCTAAAATCCTATTTGCCCTACCACTAGCAACAGCTCATTACTTGGATGGCTTTAGAGACTAATCGACTGTTACCCAAGATTCCTTTCCTTCATAACACTGTTAATAAAAAAAAACTGAAACTTAATAACATAAAATATTCATGGTATCTAAATCTGCAAAAAATAATAATAGAAATTAAGAAAAGATAACAAATAAGAGAAAGACAAAAATCAAATATCAAAACCTTTCTACAAGAGTAAAGTTATTTAACTATATATATAATGACTTTTGCCTCATCTTCTATATTGATGATGTTTTAGTATTTCTTTGTATGTTTGATCCAGCAACTTGGAGCCTGAAAATCGAATTTCAGCATATACAAATGGCAGGCTTGAAACTGAAACCAAAAAATGTATGTTCATGCACACAGAAGTATAGTTTTTTTGGTCATTGTGGGTGGTGATGAAATCTCCATGAAACTAAAATAGCAGAAATGTGAGATTGACATCAACCTGTGACCACAAAAAAAAATCCAGTTTCCTAGTTTGCAAATCATACTATCGATAGTTTGTAGCCAATTTCTCAAAGATTATCACATCATTATCAGTGAGTTGAGCCACACCTCATATGGAGTGAGGAATATGAGCAAACATTACTGTCTCTGAAGCATGCTTTAGCAGAAGTCCCAGTGTTGGGATATCCATGACAGGTCTATGAATTCTTGTTGAATACAGATTCTAGTGATATTGGAATTGGAGCATGCAATTGTAATTATATTCACTAGTTGCACGCTTATGGCTCCTGAATGCAGATAATGTATGATGAAGAAAAAACTGCTTGCATTTGTGGACCATGTACATTTCTGAAATGGTTCATGTGCCTTAAAAACCCAGATGGGGTGATAGCATGCTAGATAACAGTGCTGCAGGAGTATGATTTACTAAGAGTAGAACTTGGGTCCATATCCTGAGTTACTGATGGATTGTCTCACCACATGTTAAAGATCCTGTCCATTCATTGAATTTCCTGATTGTGGACACCATGTTGGAGCTGAAACCACTTCTGCCATACCAGTTACAAATCATAAAGTAGGAGATTACATTAGTGGACGTATGTCACAATTAATGCGTTTGGACTGAAAAACCCAGATCTAGCGTGGGTGCTCCATGGCATGAAGCAAGGTAGGGCATGACCAACCTGGATCAATGAACATAGCATGGATGCATGTAACTTATGGAACTTCTAAGTGAAGGTACCATATGAGTGCAAAACCGTGTACTGTATTATTGTTATCAATCACCAATTAGTGTTTCTCAGCCTGAGTTACAGCTAATGGTACCCAGTGCTTTGAGGTACAAAATTATCCAGACATTAAATAACACAAAGGCTGGAGAGTACAATTGTGTTATCTTCAAGTGTACAAACGTTGTATGGCAGTTCTATTAGCTTCATTTGAGTGGAATTGTTATCACTGATGTCAACAATATACAACAGAAAATTGTTCATTCTTCCCTAAACAGAATAGTCCTGAATATTACTGTTCCACTCATGGGCGAAGACTTATCAACTGGTCAAAACATTAGCACACTCAATGAATAACCTGGTTTGGAGTATCTTAAGAGATTCATACAGATCAGGGAGCTACATTTAAAATCAACTGTTCTTTGAGTTGTGTGAAGTCTGATTGTTTAGTAGAATGGGTAGGATAGACTGTCAGGTGCATGCTTGCCGGGTTTGTTAATCTTAACCAAACTGACTGGGATGAACACTTATCGAATTTCATAATGACTCATATTCATGCATGTAGACATGATGTATGATTCTCCCCTTAGAATTTCCACAAAAATAGGTGGAATTATTAATTCTGCATTAGTTGATGTACACGAGTTTTCAAATCAACAGTTAAGAAAAGTCATTATATAGCAGAAGATGTACTACGACAAGACAGTGAAGAAATGAATGTGCCAGAGTGGATGCTATATGTGTGGCTCTGATATATGCCAGAAGCTCAGTAGCTGCTCAGTTCTGGCTGTACAGGCCCTGAACCTATACTTTGATGAGTTGTTACATTCATGTACGGGTTACTACAGAAGCACATATAACAAGTCAACCAGCTGCAGCCATACATTCCAAAAAACCTCTAGCAAACTTGCTTTACTATAAATCAGCGGAGAAGATCATAATGAAAACTAGATGAAAGTGTTGCATGCAACCCTTGCTTTCCGAGCTATTGAGTGATTTTTTGTGGTGAAACTCAGGGCTGTTTTGTGAGAATCACTCGCCTGATCTAG